TTAAAGTGGTGAAATATTAAAATATGCTTCACAATAATTAACTAATAGATGTTACTGAAAAATTTCACGCTGAAAAAATTAGATAGATAAATTGGAATTCGTATATAGTAAAATAGGTATCACTTCTACTATTTATATATTAAACTTGATTTATTAAATGTTAATTCGTCACTCTCTGAGTAGTCTCGAACAAAAAATACTAACATTACTTTTAAAAGTATTGTTTAAATGATTAAATAATGCAAATGCTCATACAATATAATATAAGAAGTATTTCATACTTTTTCAAATTCGATGCCTTAATTATATATACATGTACAATACACTCAGTTTATACATAATACATTGAAGAAAAATATTATTAATACATGATATCATAAATTTATATGCATATAATAAAAACACTGTCAAAATCTTTACAGTAAAAAAAATCAAACATAACACTTTTACTATTCTTTAATTATGCACAAGTATAGGAAATAACAACAAAGTACTTCATTCGTCCCAATTTGTTATGTAAAAACGGTTTAGGATGTTTTTACTTAAAATACCAGACAGACTCAAACAGACCAAACAAGATCACACTTAAATAGAGCATATTGTTGGTAGAAAATAACCCGGGTAGAGAATTCAACAACATTTCAGTATAGTGAGAACCCTTTTCCCGAACACAAGGGGTTGGTGGCCTATTTATAGGCATACACAATAGCCCACCAATTAAGTGTTACATGGGCTTGGCCCGATTTATCCACTACCACTCACGCTAATGGGCCGGCCAACCCGATAAGTAATTAAATAATCCCGGACCAATATCCGCTAGCCGGGCTGTGTTCTGAGCTTGGTCGGGCCAAAGCTTGGGCGTAACGGGCCAATAGTTTTGGACCCGGCCCATTATCCTAACACGAGTCCCCCACTCCCTTAGTCGAGTAGTAGACTCGGCTAAAAGGGAGTAGTTAAGCTGTTTTGGGATTGGTCCGGCTTTTGGTCCGGCCGGCCGGTCATTATCGAGCCTTGAATTTGATCCCATTGCTTGTGAAAGGATGGACTCTTCTTTGCTCCGATCGGGGACCTCTTCCTTTGTTCATGATGATGGAGTACCTCATTAAAACCTTACTAGGAAAAACCCAATGGGAAAAAATCCTAGCGAAGGAAAAAGAGTGCACCAGAACCTTAAAATAAAGCAAAGGAAGTTCAATCCCCTCGGTTCTTGGTTGAGTGCCTGCTTTACTGGTAAGCCGAGATATGTTCCGAAAAGACCAGTCACACGGTTGTTTGTCAGTGGTGTCGGTCGAGCCAGGGTATGCTCGGGAGAGACCACCTAGCAACTTTGTTTTTTTTTTATGGTGTCGAGCTGAGATATGCTTGGAGAAGGCGGGTCGCAATTGTACACTTGTACGCTGAGGATGGCGATTCGGGGTATCCGATCCGAATAATGATGACGGGGAAGAAATGAGCCGGTCGTCATGTAGAGGCGACGATCACCATCCAGGAAGGGATGGCGAGCCCGGTCGCTAGATCAAGACTTCGGCGCTGGGGAGCCGGTCTTTGATATATTGCATCACATCGAGGCTGAGGGGCCGATCGTGATGTATTGGCATCGGCCTTGGAGGGCCGATCTAAAGATCCAAGCAACGGTCGCCATCCGGGAAGGGATGACTGAGACCGGTCTTGAGAGTATGACGACCACGTTGAGACCAAAGGGCCTACCGTGTCGATATATAAAAGATCACGTTGAGACCGAGGGGTCTGCCGTGATGCAAGGACGTCGGCACTGAGGGGCCGGTCCAGAAATCCACGCAACGGTCCTCATCCATGAAGTGAGAGGATGAGACCGGTCTTCAGATAAATGATCACGTTAAGACCGAGGGGTCTGCCGTGAGGCAAGGACATCGGCACTGAGGGGTCAGTCCGGAAATCCACACAACGGTCCTCATCCATGAAGTGAGGGGATGAGACCGGTCTTCAGATAAATGATCACGTTGAGACCGAGGGGTCTGCCGTGATGCAGCGACGTCTCGCTTGGCATAAGAGAGGCACGAGGATGTGGGAGATGAGGCAGTTGCTTTGTTCAAATCCCCTTACAGTTTTCGGAGCTCACCACTTCCAGGATTGAAGACCGGTGTCCGGAGTATATCTGAGCTTAGCTGCGGAACAAGGAGGGTTGCAATTGGTTGGCCTAATATGCACACTACCTGTGATGAGGCGAAGAAAATCGGGCAATGATGATCTTGGAGTTGGTCTTTGTGATTGATTTTTCGCTTGAGCTTGTATGTGTGCATCATTTGTTCTTTCAATTTACTTAGCCGTTTTTCATTCAAGAATACTTGGAGAACTAATCGGGGATCTGGCTCCCCACCTATGCCGCGAGGGGCGGAAAGTCGATAAGGTCGACCTTGACCGCGCCCTGCTGGGTAAGGCGGGGCTCACCTGCACACTGTCGGTCTAGGACCAACGAGTTGTGCAAACTGTTTGGCTAGCGATTAGACAACGGATGTACGAGAGGGGCTCGGGGCGCGACCTCTCGCATACCTTCGACCCGGAGGTCGGTCTTACACCACCTTGACTTGTACAGCTAGTTTCATACTCAGGAAATATTTGGTTATTCCCTTTCAGAAAGTCGAACTGAAGTCGGCCAAACGTAAGGGCAAGGCCCTACATGATCAGACCAGAACGGACCCGCACCACTGACCATATCAAACGAGTATGCGGGCTGTTAAACCTAGCAACGTCAGACAGCGGATGTACGAGAGGGGCTCGGAGCACGACCTCTTGCATACCTTCAGCTGAATACCGGTCATATAGTCGCCGCACAGTTGATTAGGTCAAACGAGTATGCGAGCTGTTTAGACAGCAACATTGGACAACGGATGTACGAGAGGGGCTCGGAGCACGACCTCTCGCATACCTTTTCGACCCAGGGGCCGGTCTTACGGTCGCCCTGACCGAGCAGCTATTCCTAGACTTGGAAAAGAGTTTGATCATTTCCCTTTCCGAGGATCGAGCTGTGGTTAGGGGTGTGCACGGGTCGGGTTCGGGCGGGTCGGGTTTGCGAACCCTAAACCCGTTCGGGCGGGTCGGGTTGGGATTTCACAAACCCTACCCGCCACCCGGTCTAGGCCCAATACTAATCGGATTTTCGGTTTCGGGTTTTTCGGGTCGGATATCCACTTCGGTTCGGATAATATCCGAAAAAAATATCGGGTTTTTCGGGTCGGATCGGGTTTTGCTCAGCCCTAGCTGTGGTCGACTAAACACCGAGAGCGGGGCGTCAATTTTTTTTTTTTTTTGGCCACCGCCCGTTCATTTCCAAGTGAGGTCAGACCTCATTAAATTCTAGATTGAAAACAATTTTTTTTAAGTAATGAAAGAATTTGAGAACTTGAGGAGTTGTCCCGAGTTTTACACTTCGTGCTTGATCACAATCTTGCTATGCTTCGCTCATAGGATTTGACAAGGTGCCCCGCGCCCGTACTTGGTAGTCTTGATATTGATGGTATGGACCTATCTGTGCATGCTTGGGCAACATGGTTTCCAACACTATCATATCAGCTGGATTGAGCTTGTGCAACCAAGTCTCCAGACGATGAATGTGTCACTGTCTCGGCGGATTGGGCCCGTAAAACCAAGCCTCGGGTCCGTGACACTGCGTCCACCACACCAGGTGGGGCTCGCGCGGATGATACCTGGCCCGCCAATTGTCGCTTGGACTATGCTTAGCGCGTAGGGGAGCACGAGCGCAGAGCATACGAGCGTACACGGTGAGAACTACAACGTGCACAATCTTCACTCGACGCTTCGTGATTGCGACTTGTCGGCACCAATGAGTATCTTCAGCCTGAATGCAATGCTCGGTCAGAAAGGATTGAATCCGAGCTCAACTGTCTCAGACTTGGTGCTCTAGTGATGTGCAGAGTGTACGACGGTACGGGCGTACGGGAGTCCGGGCATACGGGAGTCCAGGTGTACGGGAGTCTGGGCATACGGGAGTCCGGGCGTATGGGAGTCCGAGCATACGGGAGTCCGGGCGTACGAGAGTCCGGGCGTACGGGAGTCCGGGCGTACGGGAGTCCGGGCGTACGGGAGTCCGGGCGTACGGGAGTCCGGGCATACGGGAGTCCGGGCGTACGGGAGTCCAGGCATACGGGAGTCCGGGCGTACGGGTGTCCGGGCATACGGGCGTACATGCATACCGCGCGTACGGGCGTATCGGGCGTATTGACCCTGGGCTTGCGCTCTAGGACAAGGTTGTGCATCCGGACCTCCCGGCAGAGACGGGCCTCCTGATGGAGATCGGAGGTTCACGCCGCCGGGTTGAGCCCGCGCCACTAAGCTTCGTCATACGGAGCGTACGGTGCGTACGGGCGTATTCGCGTACGGGGCATACGAGCGTACAAAGATACACCCCTTTCAAAGCTCCGCTGGGAATGTTCAAAACAGAACGTTGGGCGTTTTTAACCCCTATAATCTTAAATAGCTCGGAGCTATTTACATCCGTTGTCTGACCGTCAACGGCGAGGGCTAACTCTTCGTCAGCGGCGAGGGCTCACTCCCCTTCAGCGGCGAGGGCTCACTCCCCGTCAGCGGCGAGGGCTCACTCTCCGTCAACGGCGAGGGCTCACTCTCTGTCAGCGGGGAGGGCTCACTCTCCGTCAGCGGCGAGGGCTCACTCTCCGTCAGCGGCGAGGGCTCACTCTCCGTCAGCGGCAAGGGCTCACTCTCCGTCGTCGGCGAGGACTCACTCTACATCATTAGCGAGGATCCAGCACGGTAGATCGCGGATCGCCTCTTGATCTAGCACAGTGGCTGCTTGGTTAGAAAGGACTTAATCGGAGCTCAGGTATCCTTGGCTTGATCAGTGATGAGTTATTCCCAGATCCATCTTCTTTTACCCCTTAAAGTGCTAAATAATAGCTTGGAGGTTTTTATTTTCCAAAGTCCCCAATACGAAACTTATTGCAATTACGAGTATTTTTTAACTAGGTCAAAATTGAGCGTACTGCTTTGATAAAAAAGAATCCTTGCATTGGGAATTCTCGCATTGGGTGGAATTTTGACTGGTCAAAATTGAAGCTGCCTGGAGAGAGAAAACAAGTCCAGCAGCGGGCAGTCAAGGATGTTCCAGTCGTCCTCGTCGTCCCTGGAACCTGCAATGAAATAGGGCGTGAGGGTTGCTGCGTGCCGGCTGGGAAGAGGTGTGGACAGTGGACCCATCGATCATCCTTGCCATCGACGAGAGAGAAAGGGGATTCGCCGGATCCGATGCCGCAGCGACAACAGAGAAGAAATCCATGGGGTTCAATTTGCTTTCCCAGGCCTCAAGCGACCATTGATGGAGAATAACTATGGCAGCTCGTCCCGAAGTGACCGTCGCGGTGGTGGAACGCCTGCAGGAGAGAGGAGGGCGACACTGTAATGGATTGGCGGAGATGGTAGCATCGCGACCAAGGCGGAAGGCGACCCGCTGGTTGACGTTGTGGCAGCTCCGCGAGACACGCCCGGCGAGGGACGCTGCCGGTGTGGTTGGTACCTGGTCTCCCCATAGCAGAGCATCACCTATTCACCTTCGGCCACCTTCTGCTTTGCCCAGATCCGTGTCGTTTGTTTTATCTCAATTTTTGAGATTTAGGTCTAATTTTTGCTAGGCACCATGGGATAGTAGGCTGCGTATTCAACGATTTCTTTTGGGATAGTAGGCTGCTTATTCAACAATTTATTTTGTGCTACGTACTTCGTATTTGTTATGATTTTTTTTTCTGAATTCCGGTTCAACTGTGATGAATTTTTACTTGATCACTGTTCGAATCTCCCCAATTTCCTACCGAAAAAGAGAGAATGGCTCTCAATGAAAGCACCAATGTTGGTAGAAAATAACCCGGGTAGAGAATTCAACAGCATTTCAGTATAGTGAGAACCCTTTTCCCGAACACAAGGGGTTGGTGGCCTATTTATAGGCATACACAATAGCCCACCAATTAAGTGTTACATGGGCTTGGCCCGATTTATCCACTACCACTCACGCTAATGGGCCGGCCAACCCGATAAGTAATTAAATAATCCCGGACCAATATCCGCTAGCCGGGCTGTGTTCTGAGCTTGGTCGGGCCAAAGCTTGGGCGTAACGGGCCAATAGTCTTGGACCCGGCCCATTATCCCAAAATATATTAGACTCGAATTTTATAGTTATAAAATACACAGAGACCATAAATTTACCAGACTAGACCATCAAATTCCAGTCCAAGTAAAAACATCGTTAACTTACAAGATTGATTGGATATAAATTAATTTACTTCTTCTCAATTTGTTTTGCAAAAGTTATATATCTACAAACTATATATACTAAGTGTTTTATTATTGAAGGTATGATGGGAAGATTTAGAAATGAGAAGATATAAATGTTACGTCAAAAAATGAAAAGTCGGAAGATATGAATGTTACGGAGGGAGTAGATAACAAATGCAAATTTATGTAGTCTTTGGTTCATAATAAAAATTTATTATATTTAACTTGGATCCTATAAAAATTCACAATATCTACTACTTCATCTGTTACTTTTTAATTGCAATAGTTAAAATTTCACGTTTGTCAACTCACAAGTTTGACCATTAATATCTTTCATTCCTTATGACTAAAAAAAATTAAAAAATTCATATTTTAAAATTTTAGAATGAGAAGAATTTAACAATATTTTAAAAAAAATAATTTATAATACATTAATTAATAAAATGTTGTCAAAGTAAAATATGTGAATAGTGCAAAAAGTCCAATGCTGCAATTAAAAGAGAACGAAGGTCGTAATATTTTTCATTTTAACTTAGGTGCTTGCTATGGTGCCCGTCTTATTTTTTTGGGTACAGTACCCGGCTTATGTGGCCAAATAAAGAATTGACATGTGGATAGGCAATATATTGATCGAGAATTCCAGCCAAGAAAAAATAATTGCACTTGAGTCCTTGGGAGATAGACGGGGACTAAGGGTTAACGGAGCTGTCTTTTCTTTTGCCGTTTCCTGGTATCTACCAAAACCAGACGCAATCCTATTCGGCTCTTCCTACTATCCACCGCAACTCCAGACGACGGCTCTCTCTACCCAAACCAGAAGTCTGGTGCCTTCCAGGTTGCCTACTATCCACCGCAACTAGACGACGGCTTTTTCTCTCCATCGAAACCGACGAGACAGTGCTTCCTTCGCTCCGGGGCTGCCGGAGCATTATTGTGGATGAGGAACTTAGCCCCATCAATTGAGATTTTCAAGCATTGAAAGGTTCCCTTGAGCATATTCTAACAAATTCGATCGGTATGTACTTGGTTTATTCATCAAATCCAATTTAGGGATTTTCTTGAGAAACATGTATTAGGATTTTCTTAGAAGCTCTTCTTCTTAGGGCTTATTTGGCCAAATAAGCTGTTTTCTGTTTCAAACAAGCATTTTTACGCTTCTGGTTTTGCTTATTTTCTGTTTCGGGAGCAGGGATTATCCTTTGCTTTTGTTCTTGCTAATTGATAAACTTATTGCAGCATAGCATGATAAACAAAATCCAACATTGGTTTATGGCATTACTTTCAAATAGTCCAGCTATGTCATCCGATGTTAAAACATTCCAACATTAAAGTGAAAATTGAAAATGTACTGCACGTCTGCACCCCACCCATCCCAAATTGTAGGTGAAATTCATTTTCAAGAATGGTATATTGGTATTCATTAAGGGAAAAAAATCAAAGCAAAACCTTTAATTATAGCTTGAAGCTATACTAACACAGCATTATGTGTTGTAGGTTATCTAAATTCGTCATAAAAATATTTTGAGCAAGTATAATAGCGAATGGATGAAAGTAGTTGAGATAATTTTTATACAAAATTTGATTTTTGTTGTCGATGCCTAAAACATATTGTGCTGGGATTCAAGATGCATCAATTTTCTTACATTCTTCTGGGTTTTCTGGTTCCATTTTAGCTGAACTTTTGGATGGACTGTGGTTGCAAACTGCTCAAAATTTTGCTACTTTTATTATCTATATGTTGTACTGATCCACTAATGTCAGGCTTGTTAATAACCAGTCGTGATCATCATCTACTTAGCCATCTTCATTTATTTTCTTTCCAGTTGAGGGAGCTGGCAGGTCTGGGTTTTACATAGAAGCATGTTTTTATATTGACAATTCCATTAGTACAGAACAATACAAATAGAAGAAAAAACACATTAAATCCAGAAGTGTATAATACCAAATCTTTCAGTTCAAACTTTAAGCATGGCTGCATGGATATAATAATGTGGGTTTCCAGTATGCACAAAATGCTAGTTCCAACCCATGGATAAAATGAAGGGAACATAATTGGTCATGAACTCCCTTTCATGGGCAACTTAAATCCATAGTACTTCATCAAAAAGTATAGCAACCTAAACAAAATAAAGGGGATAGAGTTGGACCTGAAATCCCATTTCATGGGCTATTAACTAATTAAGATCCACAATATCTCATCTAAAAGTATAGCAAGATATTCAGTGGGCAAAAGACGTGCAGGACTCGAATGCTCTTTTGTAGTTGTAAGGCGGCATCCTGTGAGAAACACTTTGCGTCCCTTCTTTTGTTTTTGCTTGATAAGCAACAAATGCTTATTGCTCCGTTCAACAAGAAAATACAAAACAAGGAGTATGAAGAATGACAAAATTCAAACCTCAAATGTTTGTTTTCATATTCTGCATGAAGTGCACTTAGAAGAGCTGGCTTTACATCCAATAAGAATCCCTTGATATTTGTAGAACACGAATAAGCTTAATGGTTGCATTCTGACCACTTGGAGTTCTGTTTTCGAAGTTTAAATTTCAAAAAAAAAATATAACAACTTTAATTGAATGAAACTAAAACATTCAGTCTAACATCCTGTATTGGTATTAGGACTTGATCATCTCTCTTTATAATTAGCATTTAATTTAAGATTCTGTCTTTCATGCATTATTATTATGTTCATAATTTCGAATATATGTTTCAACAATAATATTTTCAGAAAATGAAATTCAATGGCCTGTTCAGGTTCGTGAGGCATGTAGACTTGAAAATGAATTTTCTTTTAAGTTATATGCACTTTCTTATTTCTTATACTTACTTGGCCATTGCTTCCCTTTTAAAATCTTATATTCCTAAGTCAGAATCAGCAATCCTATTCATAGAATCTGTTGAATTAGCGTTCTTATTATAGATTTTGTTTTTTTATTTGTAATTAATAATCATTTTCTTCTTTAGGACCCTTTTCCAGTCATTCCAAAATGGCAAAGCATTGTGAAGAAGTCCAAGTCAGTTTGAATGATGGAATGATGGTGAAGGGCTGTTTGAAGAGGGTTATAAAAGAAATTGTGATTTGACATCTGCTCATGTTCTGACTTCTATGACAAACTTCTTTGGAAGTTCATAAAGGCTCGATCTTGATGAGTTTAGTGGCTGGGGAATGGCGGGGAGTGGGTAGCTTGTAGTAGCTTTAGCTTGAGAATACATGAGTTATTACATATTAATTAGTAGCCTTTGTCCATGTACTAGTGTTGTTTTACTGCTTTATAGGAGGAAGCTTTGATATAGTAGTAATGTGAGATGAGTTATGTGTATTTCTCGGAATTCTATTCGATGATAGGGTAATATATTTGGAATTATTTATAATAATAATCCAGATTTATTTTCGCTAGTGTAAGACTGTGCTAATATTTTAATAATATAATATTTTCGATAATATTTTTGATAATATCATAATTTAATAATACCAGTAATTTTATCAATAATATACTTCCTCCGTCCCCCTGTTATTGTCTTGTTTCCTATTCACTTGATCAACACAAATCACTCTTAATCAGTTAATCTTTTACTTTATGTTTCAAATTTTTATCAAATTTAATTCAGGTATTTGCAACTTTGTAAAGCTTTTAATATTGTTTCTGAATATGTAATTTTTTTATAAGAATAACTTGAGTGCGGGCAGAAATATGTTTGTTTTATCGTCGGTCAAACATTGTAAACCGCAATAGAACAATAACAGGAGGACGGAGGTAGCAGTAATAACAAAATTAAATAATACGAGTAACAAAAAGTGACAAGGTATGAATACTTAAATAATAATTTCAATGCCAATATTATTATTATTATTATCATTATCATTATCATTATCATTATCATTATCATTATCATTATCATTATCATTATCATTATCATTATCATTATCATTATCATTATCATTATCATTATCATTATCATTATCATTATCATTATCATTATCATTATCATTATCATTATCATTATCATTATCATTATCATTATCATTATCATTATCATTATCATTATCATTATCATTATCATTATCATTATCATTATCATTATCATTATCATTATCATTATCATTATCATTATCATTATCATTATCATTATCATTATCATTATCATTATCATTATCATTATCATTATCATTATCATTATCATTATCATTATCATTATCATTATCATTATCATTATCATTATCATTATCATTATCATTATCATTATCATTATCATTATCATTATCATTGACAGAAACAAAAGTTTTTTAGTACATTAAATTTGATGGTTCATGTTTTGCGCTTAGTTCATGATTCAAATCCATGTGTGACTATTTCACTTCAAATAACTCAATAAAAATACAACTACAAATAATAGTAAAAGTAATGATGATGATGATGATGATGATAATATTCATGCATAGTATTGGTTTTAAAAATGGTAGATTCTATGGTACTCATAAGGTACTATACTTTTATCCACATGGATCAATCAGAATATTACAATTGAATTACTTAAGTTTAAATTAAAAATGATATACTTATTTGGACCAATCAAGTGAATAGTAGATACGGTATCCCATTTTTTAAATGGCCACAAGAGTTCTCACCTTAAAAATATATAAGTGTTGTTAAATACATAGTATTGGTTTTGATAAAAACATATCCTCTACACGTAGAACCTATCGATTGCAGTATACTAGAAGACAGTATTTTGAATAATATATTCAACTCAATATTCTATGATGATGATGATGACGATGATGAGGATGATGATGAGGATGATGATGATCATGATGATGATGAGGATGATGAAGATCATGAGGATTAGGATGCTCATGAGGATGAGGATAATGATGATGATGATCATGAGGATGATGATGATGATCATGAGGATGAGGATGATAATGATGATGATGAGAATGATGATGATGAGGAGGAGGAGGATGATGATGCTCATGAGGATGAGGATGATCATGAGGATGAGGATGATCATGGTGATGATGATGATGATCATGAGGATGAGGATGATGATGATCATAATAATAATAATCATATTCATACATAGTATTGGTTTTAAAAATAAATACACAGTATTGTTTTTAAAAATATATAAGTGTTAAATATATGTGTTAAATACGTAGTAGGTTTTGATAAAACATATATTCGATCACCTCTACACGTAGAACCTCATCGATTGAAGTATATTAGAAGAAAATATTTTGAATCATATATTGAACTCACTATTATATTATGATTATAATGATGATGATGATCATGAGGATGATGATGATGATGACACTACTACTACTAATAATAATCATAATAATAATAATAATAATAATCCAGATAATAATAATAATAATAATAACAATAATAATAACGATAATAATAACGATAATAATAACGACAATAATAACGACAATAATAACGACAATAATAACGACAATACTAACGACAATACTAACGACAATAATAACGACAATAATAACGACAATAATAACGACAATAATAACGACAATAATAACGACAATAATAACGACAATAATAAAGACAATAATAACGACAATAATAACGACAATAATACGACAATAATAACGACAATAATAACGACAATAATAACGACAATAATAACGACAATAATAACGACAATAATAACGAAAATAATAACGACAATAATAACGACAATAATAATGACAATAATAATGACAATAATAATAATAATAGTAATAGTAATAGTAATAGTAATAATCTCAATTTCTAAAATAGTTTTGAGCATAACTACCTCACTCATGTCATTGTATCATGCAGATTCTTCATATGGAAGATTTCGCCAGGAATAGCCATACTGTGGATATCATGAATCGGTGCTACTTATGTTATTGAAATGTTTTTCATCCCTAAACATAAACTCATTTTGAATGCATAATCTCATCAATTGAAGTATATTAGAAGACAACATTTTAAACAGTATATTCAACTCACTATTCTATTTTATGATGATGATGATTTACACAAATATTACTATAATGTACTAATATTACTAAAATAAAAATTATTTATACAAATATGACCAATAGTTACTATGATGTAGTGTCATGGTAACTTAAGTTTAAAAATTCAACATAAATCACTATTTTTTCATTACTGCTCTACTCACTAGTCATATTTTTGTAAATCAGTTTTATTTTTTTCATATTTATGTAATTATTTCTAATAATAATAATAATATATTCAAGCTACTTAGCGTTATGGTAAACTGAGGAAATAATAAAATAAAATAAAAAGCAAAATAAAATGTTTAACAAATCTAGACGCATCCAAATAAAAATATAGATTTTCCAAAAATAATACTTGTATTAAATAAAAATATATATTTTCCAAAAATAATACTTGCATTAAATAAAATTTATGTATAAAAATGTGACTGAAATTAATAAAAATATATTTTCACGATCGTTACAATATACAAAATTGAACATATTTGTAGTCACTAAAAATTACCAAGTCATTTTTTAATCCACCATAATAATAATAATAATAATCATATACGGAGTATTAGAAATTATTTATACATTAATATTGATTTTATATTAAAGTTAATTGTTTATGGGTTTACCGGTCCAAGCCAGATTATAGATTTTAGAGCCTGAATATTCGGGTTCGGTCCGAATATTCATTATTCAGACAAGTTAAAAAAATAAAGGATCGGAAACAACATTCAGGCCGGGACTGGGTCGGTTTCCAAATTTCGGTCTGGTTTTCCCACCCCTAATTCACACATTATATTCTTATTTTCAAAGTGAAATCATCATTTTTGTCGTACAATTTTTTTTCTTGAGAGTTAAGAAATATATCTCTATTACAAATTTACAATAAGGATACTACCTTAGTGTGTTGTGATTCAATTAGGAAACTTTCAAACCCTAACTCTATATAATAAGTTACGTAGAAGTGGTAGAACTCAATCATGCGCCCACGCACTCTTCCTCAATCCTGCGCCACTTTGGCTCAACCCTGCAAGGAGCAATCGTCAGAACTTCCCCCATACAATGGCTGCCAATAGAATCCAAAATGAACAAGGTTCATCAACTTAGATGAGGATTCTTGCACATCTCCCATCAAGATCGAGGAAGCCAAAACTGATGCAATTGTGATTCAAATCTCTTCTAGGTAAATATTGTTTGCTTAACCTGAAAATAAATTTAACAACTATGTTATGCGTAAGTGTTTGTCTCAGTTTATGCAGACTAACACTCACAGCTAGATGGATATCATCGAATAACTGAAAGGAACGATCTCACAGAATGATTTATGAACTATCGAGAACTTTGAGATCGTGTTTCTATTATATCGAGAAGAATTTTAGCAGCGTAAGGCTAGAGTGTATTGATCGATTGATGTCTCTCGGTACCTGTACACAAGGCGCATATTTATAGGCGCTGTACAGGTTACCGATTTAGGTAAACCTTGGAAGTTGGGCCAAGGCCTTTTTGGGCCTTATTCCCTTTACCTTATTTATTACATAATAATACTAATCTAATACCATAAACGGTATAACTAGTCTACTTTATTAAACAAGACTTAACAGACAAACTTGACCCACAATAAAAGTTCTAACAATCTCCCCCTTTGTGGTCAAGTGCCGTCTTGCTGGGTTTCTTCACTTCTGAGCTTTGTAATAGTTCTTTCTGAGATTAAGTGCATGCTCATAGCTCCTGAGTGAATTTCTGTTCTCAAGTTGTGTCTTTATGGCTTTTAGGACATCTTCTGTTCTTTCCAGCTCCCTGAGTTCATCCTTTGTAGCTTCTGTTGACTTTTTGACGAGTTCTTCCCTTTTTGATTGCAATCTATTTCTGATGATCTTTAGTGTCCCATCGCAATATTTGTTTATTTCACTGGCAAACAAAAGCCGCTTCTTTCCTTCATGATTCAGATAGATGACCGAGACTGGGTTGTCAAAGATGTGATCTTCTGGGAAGTCTTCTATCCCTGGTCTGTCAAGGTCTGGCTTTGTTAGATTCACTTTGGGATAATTCATTTCCAGGCCCATCTGAAGATCATGACCTCCATGATAACGAATTTGTCTCATCATGAATCTTTTTATGGCTTCAAAACCTTCCTTTGCAAGTCTATCTTTATGGACTGGTAGCTCTCTGCATCTCATAAACATTTGATAGACGTCGTCCATATGTAATAGAAAGAAATCATTTTCTTGACAGGTGAATGTTGATCCATCAGTTCTCTGTAGGTGAAAGACCATGAATTTGATCTTCTCCAAGTATTCTTCTGTTACTTTCAGGATTGTTTGTACTGGACATCCGCTTGTTGCAAGATTATGATTCAAAGTTTGTCGTCGTTCTCCTGTGGATCTGTGTCCGAGCATGTACAAGTTTCCACCTCTGTCTCTTCCTTTGAGGTGATTGATGCCACGCATCCTGAGCTCTCTGTAGGTCTTGATCTTCTCAGGTGTGCGCCAAATTCGTTCTTTGATTTCTTCCAGAAAGGGAGTCTTAATCCTGACACTGTCCAGGGGTTTCGGAGTAGTCTTTTGTTTCGTGACAGATTTAGGCTCCTTGTATTTTTCTCCTTCTTTTATCTCATCATTGTCGAGCCCAATCATTTGTGCATGATATTTATTGAGAAACTCTCTGAGATGCCAACTTCGACACATTTCGTACTGCTCCGCCTCCACTCTAAGATCATCCCATTCTGTCCACTGGCGGGGCCATTTGTCATAAACAAGAATTTCTTCAAGTTCATCGGGTGTTTGATCATCGTGTTGGCTGGAGGGATTCTGCTGCTGCTGTGGCGATATGTCTGGCGTAGCATCGGGATCCTGGTGAGACTTGCAGGGATCCTCAATTATCTCAACACGATGCTCTTGCGCAGAGACCAGACCTCTATACTTCGTTACATGCGGCCAATCCTCCCTTGGCTGAGAAAGTGAAACACCGGGATCCTCAGGATTGCCCGTTGACATCAGTTTCGAACTAGGTTCTAACTGATGGCCTGAGTAAGAGGATGTACTCGTGGTAGCATCATCAGGACTTCCAATCCGTCCTTGGTTAACATCTATAGGAGATGTACCTCGGGATGTTATGTCTAGCTCGACCATGCTAGAGAGAGTGGCTAGGGATTTATGGCTGGCTGAAGTAGTGGGTTGCTCATTGGTAGAGGTGGAGGGTTGGTTTGGCTTTGAGGGTTGGCTAGTAGAAGCAACATGCTCAAGTATCCGCTGGCGCTTGTTCTCCCCCTCATGAGAATCCGAATCATCGGGATCCTCATGTGAACGTTTAGCGCCACGGAGACTGTCACGGCATGTGTTCTGTGTATCTAGAGCATGGAGAAGGGCTTTTTGAAGAGGGGTGAGGTTGCCTTCTTCCACGTCTAGTATACGGTCGTAGATCTCAGCTACAAGATCCTCGAAGGGTACGGTTGTTAGGTTGGGTTTGGTCGTTGTAGGGGAGAATACTAGTTCTGTATCCTGGGTTCCCCTTGATGTGGATGGTTGTTGGTTTTCTATGGCTAAAGGTTTGGAAATAGGAATGGAAATGGTTGGGGGCTGTGTTGTTTGAGGTTTGGGTGGTATATCCTGAACAACTGGGGTACTTCCAGAGTCTTGTGCATTAGCGGTTATTGCTTCATGCACCCATGGCTTAATGGTAGACTCTAGAAAGCTATTCAGATACACGAGAATGTCTTCGGGGATAATGGTACCAGTTACAGGGGTTGTAACTGTTGTGTGGCCTGCGTTCAATGATCGAGGCATTGTTGGCGTAGCAGGGCTTCCGACCATCATAGTTTGCACTCCGGTCGTTGCATTCAGGGTGAGTGCACCTGTATGTGCAGTGAATAGTGTAGGTGTCCTAGTGAAATTTAAAAATGTAGGAATGGTGACACCTAGACTCGATGTGATAGAACGGATGGGGGTAGTGGTCCGGGGCTGTTGACCACTAAGTCTCTCAGTAGATTCGGAAGGAATCAGTGAGGTCGGTGTAAGTTCCCCTTGTGTTATTGAAACCCCAGTCTGTTGGGAGACTGGAGAGTGGATGGGAGATGGCTGTGCATGCGCAGTTGAACCGGATGCTGCGACTTCTACCCGGGAACTGACAGGGTCAGCTCCTGCTCCTAGGGGCGTGGTTCGGTCTATAGTGACGAAGGTGTCACAGTCATCGTACAGTGCCAGCTCCTCTTCCACTGCACTCTTCTTTCTGAGCCTCTTCTTAGGTTGTGATGATGCAGGCTTTTCATTGTGTTTCTTGGAGCGCTGCTCACTAATGATGATCCCTTTGAGTGGTCGGGGTGTGAGTGCAGCCTCAATATCATCTGATGAGGAGTCGGAGTCTATCGGAATGGCCTGTTTACCAGCTCTCTTCCTGTTGCTGATCAGGACTCCCTCCATGTCATCATCATCATCTGCATCATCATCATCATCATCATCTCTTCGTTCATTCCCTTTGGCCATGCTATCGGAGGCCTCACCACCAGCCTTATTAGAAGGGGCCTGGCTTGATGGTTCATCGGCAGTGTCCTCAGCATTAGAGTGGCCCTCAGCAGTCTGGGTCCTCTCGGAAGAGTTAGCAGACTGATCATCATTAGGCCGGGTTGCCACTGGTTTCTGTGGCGGGGCTCTCTTCTTCTTACTACCCTCACTTGGCTTGGTCCCTTGGGAAGGTCCAGCTGATTTTTGCTGAACCATAGGAACCGTTCTCTTCAATGACTCTTTGTAGTCGATGATGGCCTTGTCCTTCGGGTTTGCTAGATTGAGCAGAGAATCCGGAATTGGCAGTGCTTCAGCTTTATTGTTGTCTCTCTGGAAGTACTTGAGCTTTGGAGCGGCGAAGTGTTTGTCTTCCTTGCGCTTAGGCATTGTGGGGGTGGCTTCCAACATGTTGTGGATCATCAGCGCCAGCCACCGAGCGTAGGGAATTGTGCTTCCCTTGTTGTTTTCCTTCACCTTTACCTGGTCCATCAGCTCTGTCCAGAAGAGCTGGGCCATGTCGTACTTCTTGTCATATGCAATCCCATGGAAGATTTGTAGGATCTGCTTGTTGCACTTGTCATGTCCGGCATGCTTAGGAGACAAGCATTTGTTGACCAGGCCGAACAGACTCTTCCATGGGTGGGGCAGGTTGGAGATAGTGAAATTTGACAGCAGGGGCAGTGGGCTGTCATAGCCTAAATCCTTCATCCCCTTGATCAGTTCTTCGTTGGAGGGGAGTGGTGCGTAGCTTTGGTGCACTGGGAGCTTCAGGGTCTCCCGGATTGTAGATGGTGTCAGCACCACTCTTTTGTCACCCAATTTGGTCATGATTTTGGACCAATCCTTCTTGCTCTCAGTTCGCATGCAGCCCCAGAATTGCTGCAGGTATACCTCTGGCACCGGTTTGGCTTCATTGAATGCAAACCAGAGGTAGTGCTTCTGTAGAATGGAGAGAATGACTGGGTCCTGACATTTGAAGAGTTTTAGGTCCAGCTGAAAATTATTGTCATAGATTGGGACCCAGTTCTCTTTTGAGTATAGTGCATCACTTGATTGTGCAGTCCTGTCCGTTCCTGACATTGTTAACTGAAAGAATTGGGTCAGCACAAATGTTCATTTGAAAATATTTTTTTTTTGTTCTGTGTTTGCAATTTTTCAGATCAGGTGTGTACAGGTGGGACATCGAAATTATTCTAAGTGTAAACCACGAGAACCAACTTCCCGAGGTTTGAACATCGAGAAGTAGGTTCTCGAGGTTTAAATACCGAGAAGCTCTTCTCGATACTCAAATATCGAGAACTTGGTTCTCGATATGGAAGTATCGAAAAGTCCTTCTCGAGATTTGAGCATCGAGAACCATCTTCTCGAGGTTTAGTATCGAGAACCTCTTCTCGGTATTTCCAACTTCGAGAAGTAGGTTCTCGGTATTAAACATCGAAAAGTATCTTTTCGAGGTTTAACATCGAAAACCGTTCCTCGAAATTCAAAGTATCGAGAAGTTGATCTCGAGTTCTAAACATCGAGAAAATTGATTTCTCGAGTTCGCATTTAGAAGATATGTCGAGAACCACCTGCAATTTCACATTATCATAATGAAAATCAATAACCACTTTTCGATTCCAAACTTTCGGTTCGAGAAAAAGGAGTTCTCGATATTCAATTTTTGAAAAAAAAATCTTGGTTTGATATCGAGAACCGTTTCATTACATGCGAAAATCATTTGAAGTTCATTCGAGAACCAAATTACTACCTTTTGTCTGATTCGAGAAGAGTGAGTTCGAGAGAGAGAGTGCGTTTTGCGAGAAGGCTTTAGATCTGGACTTCGAGAACTGAGGATGCGAGAAAATGAGTTCTCTAGTTCTCGAGGTGCCTTTTATACGCGGAAACATGGGCCTTTCGAGAAGTATACTGGGCCCAGAAGTAGAGCTGGGCCCTGTCTTTGTTAGAAAATGATTTTGGGCCCCAAAGAAAATTTATTTATGTGTGAAAATTGAACTCCCCCTCGAACAGTACATGAAAAAAGGAAAAAGATGAAAAACACACGCACACACACTCTTTTTCTGATTTTCTTATTTTCTCACACACACACTCTTTTTCTGATTTTCTTCTTTTCTCTCTCACACACACACTCTTTTTCTGATTTTCTTCTTTTCTCACACACACACACACTCTTTTTCTGATTTTCTTCATTTCTCTCACACACACACTCTTTTTCTGATTTTCTTCTTTTCTCACACACACACTCTTTTTCTGATTTTCTTCTTTTCTCACACACACACACACTCTTTTTCTGATTTTCTTCTTTTCTCACACACACACACTCTTTTTCTGATTTTCTTCATTTCTCCCCCTCAAAGTATTCCTCTCTCTTTTATTTTCTCCCTTTTCTCCCCCTCAACACATGCAACGCACACCACGCTCACTCACACATTTTATTCAGACCATGGAGATAACACAATTACATAGGATCGAGATTCAACATGCCTAACTTAGATACTAGGAACTGGAATCTCTTGTCATCCAGTGCCTTAGTAAATATGTCAGCCAGTTGAAGCTCAGTGTTTACAAAGTACAGATCAACATCTCCTTTCTCCACATGGTCCTTGATGAAGTGATAGCGCAAATCGATGTGCTTGGTGCGCGAGTGATGAACGGGGTTGCTGGTTATGGCGATTGCACTCTGGGAGTCACTGTAGATGGGAATATGGTTGAATAGGAAGCCATAGTCTCTGAGTTGTGTCTTCATCCATAGGATTTGTGAACAGCAACTAGCAGCCGCAACGTATTCTGCCTCGGCTGTAGAAGTTGACACGCAGTTCTGCTTCTTGGAGGACCAATAGACTAGCTTCTCTCCCAGAAATTGAGCATCACCGGATGTACTCTTTCTGTCTAGCTTGCAACCCGCGAAATCAGCATCTGAGTAACCAACAAGGTCAAAACCCGTGTCCTTGGGATACCAAAGTCCTAAGTTGACTGTTCCTTTCAGGTATCTCAGGATTCTCTTTACTGCATTCAGATGTGATTCCTTTGGATCTGCTTGAAAGCGAGCGCACAGACAAGTTGCAAAGACAAAATCCGGTCTACTAGATGTCAGGTACAGCAACGAACCGATGATAGCCCGATAGTTGGTAGCATCGACTGAAGTCCCGGAAGGGTCAGAGTCGAGCTTTTGTGAGGGAGACATGGGGGTTTTCATGGTTGACTTGCTGTCCATCTTGAATCTCTTGAGCATTTCATGGATGTACTTTGACTGGCTGATGAAAATTCCGTCTGGCATTTGCTTGATCTGTAGCCCTAGAAAGAAGTTCAACTCTCCCATCATACTCATTTCAAACTCAGTGTGCATCAAGTTGCTGAATTCTTCGCAGAAGTTCGGATTGGACGAGGCGAATATGATGTCATCTACATAGACTTATATCAACATGATGTCACTGTTCTCTCGCTTGATGAAAAGAGTTGGATCTATCTTTCCCTTCGAGTAGCCTGATTGTACAAGAAAGTCAGATAGTGCATCATACCAGGCTCTCGGTGCCTGTTTTAGTCCATACAGAGCTTTCTTCAGCTTGTAGACATAATGTGGGCGTTCAGGATCAACAAAGCCTTCTGGTTGTGCCACGTAAACTTCTTCTTTCAGTTCTCCATTCAGAAACGCAGTCTTTACATCCATTTGATAGACGATGAAACTCTTATGAGCAGCATAAGCAAGGAACAGCCTGATTGCTTCAATTCTGGCCACTGGTGCAAAGGTTTCATCATAGTCAATTCCCTCTTGTTGATTGTATCCTTTTGAAACCAGTCGGGCTTTGTTCCTGATTATCACACCGTCTTCATCTTTCTTGTTCTTGAAGACCCACTTGGTGCCAATTATTGTTTTCTTTGGGGGTCTTGGCACCAGGGTCCATACATCCAATCTTTCAAACTGATTGATCTCCTCATGCATTGCTATCACCCAATCTGGATCTGTTAGAGCTTCAGAAACTTTGGTTGGTTCAGATTGGCTGATGAAGCAAGAGAAGAGACATTCATTTGCTGTGGCTGTTCTTGTATAAACTCCACGACTTGGATCTCCAATAATTTGTTCTGCAGGATGTGCCTTTGTCCATTTCCGCTCATGAGTTAGAGGGATTGGAGTTATGATGGGGTGATCCGGGTCCTCAAAAGTAGTAGATGTGGTTTGTTGGGGAGTGGAGTGCACAGGGGTCGATGCAGGTTCTGTAGCTGCTTGAGCTGGTATTTCTGGTATTTCTGAAACTTGTGCTGGTGAAGTTGCTTGTGTTGCTGTCGTGCCATGATCCTCAGTATCTTCGTGATCTGATGCATGAGGTGAGTCAGCTTCTTCCTCACTGAGGTCAGGCATAAATGGTGGTTGAGCAGCTTCTGTTGGTAATTGTTGGTTGGCAGTGCGTGCATTCTTATAGAAATGTTCAAAGAGAGAGTCGAGAATTGCACTGTCAGCTGTTGTTTGCTTTGTTGCTTCAGCTCCATCAGGTTGCTTCCTTTGATCAGAGAGTGTGTGTTCTATCAAGAAATGTTCAGAAGCAAAGTCAGCCATTTCATAGAATGCAACGTTGACACTCTCAATGACTGTTCTGCGATCACGTAGATAGACCCGATACGCCTTTGATTGCGTGGAGTACCCAATGAATACCCCTTCGATGGCTTTCGGATCCATCTTGCTTCTTTCATTTCTGTCATTTAGAACAAAGCACTTGCAGCCAAACACTCTGAAGAATGAGATGTCAGGTGTTCTGTTGAAGAGTATTTCATAGGGGGTCTTGTTGAAGCGTTTGTGAATTGATGTTCTGTTCTGAGTAAAGCACGCCGTGTTGATTGCTTCAGCCCACATGAAATGGGGAAGCTTTGACTGAATGAGCATGGTGCGTGCTGCTTCAACAAGAGTTCTATTCTTTCTTTCAACGACCCCGTTCTGTTGTGGTGTCTTTGCTGCAGAGAATTGCTGTGTGATACCCTGAGTTCCATAGAAATCAACAAGAGACTGATTCTTGAACTCGGTACCATTATCTGTTCTGATGATCTCCACACTCTTTTGTAGAAAATTTTGGATCGTCCTGATGAAGGTTATGATGGTTGCAGCTGTTTCATCTTTTGTCCTCAGAAATTTGGTCCATGTGTACCGAGAGAAGTCATCCACAATGACCAGTGTATATTTGCGTCCATTGATACTTTGGACTCTCATCGGTCCACACAGATCCATATGAAGTAGTTGCAGCAGTCGGGAGGAGGATGGAACAGATTTTAACTTGTGAGAGCTCCTTTTCATTTTGCCTAGTTTGCAGGCATCACAATGAGTGTCAGCGGAAGTCTTCAAAGGAGGCAGCCCTTTCACAAGTTTCTTGGAGGATAGAGTTGTGAGATATTTGAAGTTGAGATGAGAAAGGCGTCTGTGCCATAGACTGTTTTGTTCAGAGGAAGCTTTGGACAGCAGGCAGATGGAAGAAGGTAATTGTACGCTCTTCAGATCAATGGTGTACAGGTTGGAAGTTCTCGTGCAGGTCAATAATACCTTCCCAAACCTGTCCAGCACACAACATTGTCTAGCTATAAACTTCACTTCCATGCCACTATCACAAAACTGTCCAATGCTTAGTAGATTATGCTTCAGTCCTTTCACGTATGAGACAGCCTTTATGGTGACACTTGCACAGATGACATCCCCATATCCTAGGATTGGAGAGGCCGCGTTGTTTCCAAATCTCACATTTCCTCCGTAGCATTTGGTGTAATTGCTCAACAGCTCTTTTATTCCGGTCATGTGGGTTGAGCAGCCTGAATCTAAGTGCCACACATGACCGTCCTGCAAAACAGATTAAGGACTTTTAGGTACCCACCGCAGGATGGGTCCTTCCTTATCAATTGAGAATATCTTTTTGAATTTTTCTTTCAGCTTTGATCCAAGGTCAGCAGCCTTTTCAGACAATGGTTTTTGTCTTTCGATCTCAGCTTTTGGTATCCATTTTTGTTTGATTTTAGGAGCAGAGAAGACAGAGTCATTGTTTCTGTGTGTGAACGACTGGTTCGTGAGATAAGGTTTTAAAATTGCTTCCTTAGAGAGTCTTTGTAAGTGTTTCTTTGAATGAACTTTAAGAGGATATTTCAAATTTGGAAAATTATAAATACCCTCTACCGCTCTATTCTCAGATTGTTTCTTTTGTTTGTGCTCTTTCTGTTTTCTCTCACGAACAGAATTCACAACACATTTATGATCAGAATCATTAAAACATGCATTTCCTAACTTAGGAGCATACGACTTCTTATTGAAATAAAATGGATCAGAAGTGAAATTAGATTCATTCAGCTCGAGACACGAGACTGAAGTAGAACTACAAGACTGTGACATAGAAGTAGATCTACGCTTATTTGAATAGAAAACAGCATTTGAACATGACTTCTTATTTTCGAAAAACATCTTCTTCTTCCCTTCAGCTATTTCTTCTCTCTTCTTTCTCCACTCACGTCTCCTCTCCAATCTCTTACTTACTTCATTCCCTGTTTTCAAAGGAGACTTGGAGTGAGTGGGTGGTTTTTGGAAAAATTCAGAGTTGTTCAAATTTCGTTGAGAAGCATCAGTATCACTAGATGATTGAGAAGTTATGTTGGATCGAGAACCTTCTTTCAAAAGAGTTAATTCATTTAACAACCGATCCCTTTCACTTTCAAAGCTTTTTCTTTCTTCTTCAAAGCTTTTTCTTTGTTCTTCTAAAGTAATGTGAAGTTTTTCAAATTTCCTTATCAGTGGAGGGATATAGGGTTCTTCCTCCTTTTCAGAATTAGAGGTTGAAGGAGGTTCTGGATCTGACACCACTTCTGTCTCAGAAGGGTAAGGGCTAACACTCTCATCATGTGAAAAAACAGGTTCTTTTGTGGCATAACTTTCGTTAAGAGAGTCATAATTGAATGGAACCTCAGCTTTAGAAGGATTTGATCTCTTTGTCTCTTGTTCTTCAGTAGTTTCTTTTGCTCCGACAAAGAGCATCAACTTGGTTAATCCCAAACCCATGTAATTGATATCATAGAGTTGACGGCAATTGACCTTTTTCAAATTACGAGGGTTTGTGATGCCAAGACCTTCTTTAGAGTTATAGAAACGAGTGTCCTTGTTTTGATTTAGAAAAATTGTTTGTTCTGACTGTCCTCTTTTGGCAATTAAATCTTCTAATTCTTTGATTTTCTTGTAAAGAATGCTGACTCTATTTAATAGCATCTCCTTTCTAGCTGTCTCACAATTTCGTTCTGCTTCTCATTCACTTAACTGTCTAGTGAGTTCAGCGACTTTCTGTGTAAGTATTTCTACTTCGGAATTTCGCTTTTTCACCATATCCTTTTTATTATCCAGTTGTATGCTTAAGGAAGTGATTCTGTCAAGCTTTATGAGTAGATTCTTGTAATTATGATCTAACCTGTCTTTTAACTCCTTTATGGTGTTATCCTTTTCTTGAAAAGAATGAACTTTGCATGAGCAAGAGCAAGACGGTTTAGGAGTACTTACAGTGTGATTGGAGCTTGAACTTCCACCGGGGATCGCAACATCACCCTTTTCTTCTTCTTCCTTCTCAACAATGGCCATTAGGGCTAAGTTTTCTCCTTCTTCATCGTCAGAACTCTCTTCCTGCCATGGATCTCCCTCAGTGAGTGTTGCAGCATTATCATCGTCTTGCTTGGCCATGAACATCTTCTGTTTGTTCCATAGCATCTTCTGCTTGTAATAGTTAAAGTCCCTCTTCCTTGGCAAGCGGCAGTCTTTGATGACATGTCCAGCTTTTCCACAATTGAAGCATTTAGGAGGGTCTTCAGTTGCAACCGCTCTACTGGAAGAGTTCTGATCATTGCCCTTTGATTTGTAGTTGGCAGAGGAGGTCCGGAGTTTGTTTGATGAGTTACCTTTCTTCGGAAATCGTGTATTAAATTGATTAGTCAGCAGGGCCATTTTCTTTTGCAGTTCGGCCAGTTCTGACTCGACATCCACTTCCTCCTCACTTTCTTCTTCTTCAGACATCACAACAACTGCCTTCTTTTTCTTCTGAGCTTTGGACGAACTCTTGGGTTGAGCTTCCATCATTAGTGCTAATGGATTTCCAGAGTAGTTTCCTTCCATGTCAGCAGTGTCATTCACAAACTGTTGAAGGTGCTCATGCACAGTACACAGATCAAGTTCATCCAAATCCAGATGTTGACGTAGGTTCTTCACAGTTCTTCTCCATTCTGGTGGCAGGCTCGACAAGAAACGTATGTTCATTTCCATGTTTGATTTGACAACCTTGATCTTTCGCATCTCATTGATCAGTTGTACAAATCTGTTGTATGTTTCATGGAGCGCCTCACCAGGTAGAGCTTTAAATCCATCATAGGCAGTCAGGATGTTTGCCTTCTTTGTCTTTAAACCCAAATCAGTTCCAATCATCAATTTTTTAATTTCATCCCACATCTCCTTAGCTGTTTCCATGCTATCAATCAATATGTATATGTCATTGGGAATAGCTTGGAGCAGGTACGTTTTAGCCATTAGATCTGCTTTGACTCTTAGTCTGTCTGCTTCAGTGTACTCAGACTTTGCTTTCAACCTTCTTTCAACAGCAACTGGAGGATTGTTCACACCATCTGTTGTCACATCTACCCAAATTTGTGCTGGTCCTTCAGTAAGCGATTCCAGCATTGCAGAAGAGTTGTCCTTTCCTTCCAGAAAGTTTAAGAACCTTGTTTTCCACATCTGATATTCTCCTCTTCTCAAGATTGGGGGTCTGTTCTCATTTCCAAGTGCCAATGCTTCCATCTTTGCTGATTGAGCCTTAAAAGATCGATCGAGTGTTTTGATCAGAAAAAAAAATTTAAGATGCAGAATGTCGAAAACCTAATTCAAGAAAAAGTTCGAGAACTAGGGTTCGAGAAGTTCTATCGAGAACCAGTTTTCGATAGTGAATATCGAGAACCTGTTTATCGAGAAGCTGGATTCGAGAAGCTGTATCGAGAACTTCAGTATCGAGAAGCTAAGTTCGAGAACTTAGTTTCGAGAACTGAGTGTCGAGAAGCTGTGTCGAGAACCTGCAATTCGAAAAAACAGAGTTTTTAGATATTTAGTATCGAAAACTAAGTATCGAGAAAACAATCTCGAGAACTCAGTTCGAGAACTTGTATCGAGAACGTAGTATCGAAATCCTGCAAATCAAAAGTTCAGACTTAAACAGTTTAAACAACTTTTCTGTGAAGTTTTCGATCTCGAGAGTCTTCCTGTATAGTTTTCGTCCTGAAAAACCTGCTTAAATGTCGAGAACCCTGCTTTTCGAACTCATACTATCGAGAAATCAAAAATACCGAATCTACTGAAATCGAAAAGTAAGATATACCCTTGGTTCGTTTCTGAATGGCGAATCCAATGGTATAACTTTTACAGTTTATCGATCAGAAACAGGATTACAGTGATTACAAAGAAATATATCGAAAAGTATGAAAACAGAGAAACTTCGAAAACTTTTCTTCGACGATCACACTCGAGCAGTCTCTGATACCAGTTGTTTGTCTCAGTTTATGCAGACTAACACTCACAGCTAGATGGATATCATCGAATAACTGAAAGGAACGATCTCACAGAATGATTTATGAACTATCGAGAACTTTGAGATCGTGTTTCTATTATATCGAGAAGAATTTTAGCAGCGTAAGGCTAGAGTGTATTGATCAATTGATGTCTCTCGGTACCTGTACACAAGGCGCATATTTATAGGCGCTGTACAGGTTACCGATTTAGGTAAACCTTGGAAGTTGGGCCAAGGCCTTTTTGGGCCTTATTCCCTTTACCTTATTTATTACATAATAATACTAATCTAATACCATAAACGGTATAACTAGTCTACTTTATTAAACAAGACTTAACAGACAAACTTGACCCACAATAAAAGTTCTAACAGTAAGCATATGTAATATTTTATTTTTCGAAATCACAGTGATAACTTGTGCGATGATGCAAGTTTGAAAGCACATGAGAAGCCCAACAATGAGGTAATATTCCATAGTATCAATATTTTATGATGATATATGTGTTTCAGTTTTCTTACTAGTTATTAGTAAATAGTTATCTCTACAAGTATTTTTATAAAAAAATAAAGAAGATAGCAAAAAAAATACTCATTACAGTACTGGGTCAGCCAATAGCCATCTACACTACATCTCTTGAAGAAACGAATTACCATAGGGGTTGTTTGATACATGTCTGCTCTTAATCATATCGTACTCATTAGTCATTACAGTAGTGCTTCTATAGTTACCATGGAGTTGATGTACTGTAGTACAATTCAAATATTGCCAGCTGTAGATTCATGTGGTTTCCTTTGCCCATTCATCTTAGTATAAAACTAGATGATAAATCTTGATTTAGTACATGTAGATTCATGTAATATAAAATCCTGATTTAGTATGTTCAGAACATCTTAGTCAATAAATCTAGTCCATAAAGTGCACTGCACAATCAGTGACTGATAAAAGTTTATTAAATGACTAATAAAAATTTAGTGATATATCAATTTTATACTTAATTCTTGAATGATATTGGCGGTACGCCGATAATAGATTTAGCCATATTTATATTCATGAATTTTATTTTGGTGATATTTAAGGAAAAATCTTTGAATATTATACATACATAGATTAATCAAAATACAAAGAGCAATGGCCATTACCTCTTGTAGTGTGTAGCCAATCACAGAGATGGCCTCTCAGAACTGTGTTACTGATCATAGTGGTCCGGTCCTCGGAACCATCAAGTTCTTATTTCGGTCGGTTAGGGATCCTAAACTGAGTCCACCTCTACCTGCAAATATAAACATATTTATAAACAATATCAGGTAGCAGAATTATTAAGAACACATAACTGCTAAATTTATTCAATGTTAATGTTTGAGCACATCAGAAAAATTGATAATCTAGTGAAAACTTATGCGTATAGTCATTCCAAACAGAACCTTGTTTTTTAATTCTTCTTTTTCAATAGATATTTACCCATCGGTGTTCATTGGTAAAAAGAAGATATCAAGCGTATGTGCTTCTATAGTAAAAGGCTTAAGAATATGATAATAGATAAAAACAAACTAAATTATTATAATACTTGTAACTCTAAGAATTCTTTTGTTTTAAGAAAGGATAAGAATTTGTAAATAATATGTTTACCAAGCAGACATAGATGTTTGCCTATTTAGCAATTTAAAAAAAAATATGCCTAAACTTCAGTAGGCAGATTGTTTAATTTGGTTACTATTAATAGATGATCATTAGGTTATATAACACAATCACATACACCAACTTTAATAAACAGATTGTTATATATGACTTCTAGTAGTTTTGTTATATAAAATTCAGACTGAAATTGACATTATAAAGATTGAGTTAGGCTGAATTACTAGAAGAAAAATGAATTTGAGACAAAACTAACCTGTGTCAATTTTGTGAATAGCAGGATCTCGCTGAACGTGTCAAGATAATGGAATCTACTATGGACAGTGTCATTCGATCAATTGATAGCTTAAAGGAGAGTTTTCTTAAACAAAGCCATTATGGACAGCATCACAGTTCAACGCTTTTCTAATTTTTTACATTATAACAGAAATGATTGTGGTATGTGGGTTTGCATGTGGATGATGTCAAGATTGAGGTAAAAACATATCTTTGACAAACTTTAATCTACAAAGCTAAAACAGATTGAGCTTGATTACATGATGATTTCCTTAAAATTTATAGGTTGATGATGGTACAAGACTTAAGATGGCATTGAATTTGGCTTTGGATGAATTCAACAGTCTCCGTGAGGCACTCTTGAAGAAGTCAAACGAGCACATGATGGAGTTTGATATTGATAAATTCAATACATGTATTAAATAGACTATTAAAGTTAGTTCATATAGTTATTTTGATTTATTAGTTCCAATTTCATTATTACTCTACAGATATTTGAGACTTGATTAGTTATAATTTCGTGAATTCTATTGACACTTCAATACAATTTTATATTCTTAAATTCATGTATTCTTAAGTGTCACTATTCTTATTATTTTTTATGCTTCTAGTTTTTCTGATTTTCTGTTTTGGCAGCAAGGATTTTCCTTTTGTTTTTATTTTTGCTTGATAGGAGTATACATAGAAACATGTTTTTATATTGATTCCATGGAGGCTTTAACATTTTTAATCTAATGAATGCATAAATGCATCATTTCTATCCAACTGCTTATTCTATTCGGTGACTCCAAAAACCTGCAGACTACTAAACTGATGGAGGGAGTGGATTATGCTCTAGCTATTATAGTAATAAATTGATGGTGGGTGGGATTCAAATAAAAACTGGTTTGATAGTGAATACTCCGTACTGTATTTCACTCAGATTGATGGTGGGTGGGATTCAAATCCTTTTCAAATCACCTCAAGACATTATTGATAAGGTTTCAGCAAGAACACTGCATTGAGCAATACAAAAAATTGATGATGAAAGTGCTATACCATAAAGAGACCCATTATTGTTTGGAAGGGTCACAATTAGAAGATCAAGCTCCTTCCCTTGTAGTTTGGTCATGCAATCATGATACTTAGCTTTCAGTGCTCTGTCAACCTGATATGGTCGAGCAGAGGTTGTAGGTAGAACTGGATTGGGATTGAACATCTTCAAAAAAATGGAGTGTCTTTAAGTGTAGTGAGAAATTCAAAATCAGATAAATATCTCCATAGAATGTCAGGGAGCAGCACACTTACCATCCCAGATATTGACACATTTGGGCAAGCTCAGAACATTGCGGGAAAAGTTTATGCAAAATCAAATGTTAATAACTACTCCGCCATTAACCAGCTTCTGTGAAAGCGTAAAAGAAAAATAACAAGGATTAGCAATGTTAAGTGTAGTGAGAAATTCAAAATAAGATAAATATCTCCATAGAATGTCAGAGAGCAGCACACTTACCATCTCAGATATTGACACATTTGGGCAAGCTCAGAACATTGCGGGAAAAGTTTATGCAAAATCAAATGTTAATAACTACTCCGCCATTAACCAGCTTCTGCGAAAACGTAAAAGAAAAATAACAAGGATTAGCAACCAGATGATTCCAGCAAATTCACATGCAAGTGAGGCGCAGTAAACAACAAGTAGAGGTCAAAATTCACACTGATTTGAACTAAATATAACTAGTTATTACCTTGTTCATCATATTCCACTGACCAACTTGAGGGACATCCTTCTCGCAACCACTATCAGAGTATTTTAACTGCAAACAAGTTAAACAGGTGAAATCACCAAAATTGTGCAGGTAAGATCCGACCAAATTTCTAACAATCACAAAAACACTCCATAAAGCTCTTTACTCACCCTAGGTGCAGGTAAAATCCGAGCTTCAACCTGAGCGAGCTTTTCACTGATTTTAATTCCAAACAATTCAACCAGGTCATTGGCATAATTGTTTAGTCTCACAATCCGTAAATGAGAGAGAGATCAATTTCTATCATGCCTTATGGAAGCAAATACGTTTTCTGGGAAACAAATACACTATGCACGAGCAAACTCATCTACCTTCTCCGATTGAAATGAACATCATAATGAATTGATACAAATACCTATTATAATCTCACTCTAAACAAAAATTAAGGTTATCAAAACATATGACCCCTAAGCAAGGAGTCAAGTGTGTTGGTCAAGGCATTTACCTACGAAATACTATTAATAACTTAACGAGTGATGGCCAACATTTATTTTGTCTTGATATTTATGTGTGTCCAATTAATTAAAAATATAGAACAATA